GCCATGCTTTCCTCTCCACTATGTTGCCCAGGTTTCCTTTCTTGTGGCAGCAATGACAGAGCAACTCCCACCATCAACCTGGGCCTGGGTTTGCCGAGAATCAGAACCCGTGTTGGGCCCAGTTTGAAACCCCAGGAGTAACTCCTAACAGCCTGGTTTCAGTGCTCTGTGAGCACCCTGAGGAACTGAGCAGAGTTTAGGGATGTGCAGCCATGTCAGTCAGACTCCAGGCCAGATCCAAGCTCTAATTGGCCATTTGAGTATGGTGACATCACCTTTCTGAATCTCCCTTGCTTTGTCTGCAGGGTGAGCCTGGGAAGTCACTCCCCTGGCAGGGCCCATTGTCTTGATTCAGTGAAATACACAGCACTAGACAGTGAGTGGTAGGTGTCTGAAGGGTATTGCCAGATGCCTGGTATTTTGAATTTATTCTACTCTCTCTTAGGATGGATTTCAATGTTGATATATTTTCAGGTGAATGAGAAAGAAAAAAAATCTAGCCATCCTTCCTGACATGTTTTGAGACTATGAGACACCCTCTTCCCCCAGCAGTCACCCATTCCCATGTGTGAGAGCCTTTGCTTCAAGCTAGATGAACCTGGAGTGTATCTGGTTAGTTGAACAGATTGTTTAAATTTACCCTGAACAAGTTGTGTCCACGGAAATGCCGAAGGCCACTAGTAGCATCAAGACCAAGAGCCGAAGGATGCTCCATGCATGCTTCAGTTCCCAAAAGCACCCTCCCTGTGTGCCCAGGAGATATCTGGGCTCTGGCAGGTGAGAGAACCTATGACCATTCCCTCAGGGTATGAAGGTTAGATTGGTACCATATTGCACAAGATGCTAGAGTCAGTGGTGTGAGAGCTGATGACACTGTCAAGCATCACCAAGGCCAGATTGTACTAGCCAGGGTAAAAAAAAAAAAAAAAATAGATGCTAAGGTACGGAAGAGTCAAGGATAGACATTGTCTGGATGCCATGTGGGAGTGGACTGGGAGGAGGCAGGTAGCTATGTAGATTTCCAGGTGAGTCATACATGATGGGTAGAGAAAAGATGAAAAGCTGTTGGAGAGATGGCACCTCCATAGGCTGCTGGCTGATGGGGTTAAGGAGAAGGAAACAGGTTCCTAGCTTCAGCAGCTGGGTAGGAAAGGTGGTCCCACCAGCAGAAGCCATGTTGGAGCATCCCAGGTGAATAGCATGACGTCATTGTCTGCTGGGACTTGGCAGCAATTGTATAGGGGTAGTCTGTAAGGTTTTTCAGATCAGAAATGCCAGAACTCACATGCTCTGCCATGTGCGTAATTAGAGGTTCCCCTTGCTGCTGCCCTCCTGTTTGCCCTGATACTGACTCGGCAGCTGTCTCTAGAACCCTGATGCCCCTGCAGCTCTATCTGCCTGTGCTTGTGTCTGCTGTCTCCCTGAAATGAATTTCTTGGCACCTCGTTTGCAAAAACCCAGGTATCAGGGCTCAGCCCCTCCAGGAAGGGTTTGGTAATCCCTAATCCTGCAACTGGAGCTCCCTCCCCCACTACACACACACACACACACACACACACACACACACACAAGCAATTCAGCCCCTTCTTAGAGCTTGGAGTGTCTTCTGCTGTATGTGGGACTTTAAGGCATTTTGTGCCTTTGGTGTTGGAAGGCAGAGTGTGGTGAGGGGGTTAGCCAGGTAGTGAACTGCAGGGGGTGCAGAGCAAGAGGAGGAAAGAGAATAGTGGGAGGGCACATGTATACACACACACACGCACACACGCACGCACGCACGCACGCACGCACGCAGCAGGTCAGGCAGACTGCCACTTAACCTGCTCTGTGGCCTTAAGCGACAGTGGCAAGATCAGAACTTGCTGTGTGTTGCTCATACCACCCTCCAAGGTTAGTAGCATTCGCCCAGTTTCCAGATGAGGAAACTGAGACTCACAGAGTGACTTCCCTGGGATCCCTCGGGGAGCAGCCAGAGTCATCTGCAGTGGGGCCATATCTGCAGTCACTGAGCTTGCTCTCACTGGGCCTCAGCTCCTCATCTACAGGGCAGAGTTATAAGCACTCAGAAGGCCACGGGGAGAAGACGACTTGCGTTGGCAACACCAGGCCCAAGGTCAGCCAACACTCAGCCTCCTGTCTCTAACCTCATCTGTGTAGTTGTTGAATAGAAATGACCACAGGGCTTGCAAGGGCTGAGCAGGTCTGGATCCTGTCCTGGTGGGAGCTTGGATCTGCCAGAATCTGTGCAGCATCTTAATCTCAGATGAATAAGGCAGCGACCCTTCTCTACCTGACACTTGATGTCCTTGATGGGGAGAGAAGGCAGGGCTGTGCCGAGAAACCCTTCCACCACAAACACAGGGGTTCTGCATGTGGGATCAGGAAGGCCGCTCCCAGGAGGTGGTGCTTGAACAGAGGCATGTGTTTGCTGAGGGGGCAAAGGAAGGAAAGGGCCTTCGAGACCTTGTGAATGTATTTAAAAGGGCTTTTGGGATGGAGATTCCTGGCAAGTTCAGAGTCATCTCTCCACAGCTGATGCATGGGATATATGGGGTGGGAGAGACATTTGGGGCATTAACACAGATCCTGGGCTTCTAAAAAAAATGTATACATTAAATTGTCAGTGTGGGAAGGGAAGACTTCCCAGGAGGGGTGCGGAAACAGGTGTTTGGAAGCCCAGACAAAGATCCACAGATTCCTGGTGGGAAAGAGGTAAACTGATCCCCAGAGTCTGACAGGCTCTCCAAAGTCAGAGAAATCACGCAGCTAAGAGTTATTGGTCTCCTCCAACAACCTTTCCCTTAAACCAGCCAGTCAGTGAGAACAAAGGGCCAAAGTGGATGCTGAGGGGAGGCCTGTTCCTGCCCAGGTTCCTTCACCACATGTGGATGAACTTGGCACAAGGCCTTTTGCAGGTGAGCAGGGAGCAATTGGTCCCCTGCTGTTCCCCATCCAGGGTTTCCTTCTTGTTCTGATAAAGGAACAGGGCCCATAACTTGAAACCCAGCTCAAGAAGCTTACATTACGTTGACCCCAGCAACAGCCTGTACTGTGACCCAATTGGCATCCAAGGGGTCATTATCTGTGACCCTTGTCCTTGTGGCTGTACAGGAATTTATGCTATGGCCTCCGCTCTTGCCTGGGTTTCAGTGGTCCTCTTCTGTAACTGCAGCAACTGTCTTTTCTGTCTCTTCCCCAAGTCCTACTTGCCACAAACAGCCAAAGGTGGCTTATTACATTGTAATATATATATATATTATGTCATATCATGATTTTTGTATGTATGTATGACTGTACGAATTCCTCCCAGGCTGGTGTATATATAACCCTGTCCCTTCTTATTCCCATAATCCATATATTACTCTGTCCCCCTAATTCCCAGGGTGTGAATTTGGTCTTGTCCCCCCAATACCCAGAGTATACATCCAACCCTGTCCCCTGTCCCCTCTAGGGACAAGATCATAGACCAAATGGACCATAGGATCTTACCTTTGCCCACAGGCTTCTCCAGACATATCCCAAGCTTACTAGCAGTTAAAGTTAGTGGGCCAGGGGAGAGGGGAAACAACAGAACCTTTAGCAACTTCCTTCTACTGAGGGGGAGACTAGAAAGAGGGGTGTGGAAGAGCTGTTTCGGAACCCTGGCCTTCAAGGAACTTGGCCGCCCCCTAGCAGCCCAGGGGGACTTGGTGCCATAGGGCTGGAGTCACCTGAGTCCTCACCTGGAATAGGTACTCATGGCTGGCACATCCATCAGCCGTGGACATGGGGAGAAAGCCAATGGCTCAGTCCCTTCCTTCTCAGCAAGCATTGATGACCTACCTAGGTTTTGACATCACATTTGGCTTATACCTTGTCTTTGCTACATCATGTGACTTTGGGCAGGTCACTTTACCAGAGTTTTTGAGATGAGGACATTGATGTCACATGTTTCAGAGTTTTGTAGTCAAACGCCAGCACCATGACTGGAGCAGCAAATACCAGCCACTGTGGACCTTCACCACACCCTGAAATACAGCCGCAAGGCCAGCTGGCATGAGCAGACAGCGGGGAGAGGCAGAGGAGGGCAGTCGGTAGCACCACACTAAAGGTTGGAACTGGTGCCTCACTCAGTGTCTGAGCTGGACTTTGAAGGCTGAGCGGGGATGGCCAGGAGAGGTGACCTTCTTGTTGAGTGGCCTGCCTGAATGAAAGCTGCACTTTATCTTAGCCAGAAGGCAGAGAAGCCATATGAACGGAGGCTGGGCCTAGAGAGGCAGGCAGGTGGGGAGGCCACGGGGATAGAATGTCAGGTCTGTGAGGAGAGGGTCACAGAATTGTATTGCTATGTCAAGGCTCCTGGGCAGCTGTGTGGTAACCAGGGCAGTGGAGGCAGGGCGGACTTGATGTGAGAGGGTATGGAAGAGAGGCCCAGGTGTGACAGAAGTTGCAGGAATAGACAGTTGGGGCCGTTTCATTCCTCCCTCCACTGTGACTCGTTTCTTCACACACTCTCTCTGCCAGGAACCTAACATTTGTGCTGTGTCTATTACATGTCCAGTACTCGGCACAAAACGTACTAAATGGTGGACAGACGACAGCTAAGTGACTAAGATGACTCAAGACACGTCAGTGTACAAATGTCACTATTGCTCTCACGACTGTTATCAAGGATGATGGCCTTATATAGTCCCTGATGAATAGCCACAGCCTCACCTTTGGAGAGGGGCCAGATACAGCATCAAGGGACTCCCTCCTTCTGGGGTTCCATGCTCTTTGAGTTGCTGACCCCGGGGTGCATAGTTGGCATGTATGTGAGTTGTTATTCCCAAGGTCAGGAGCAGAAGGTCATCTTCCGCCCTCGTGGCCCATTTCTGAGCCCTGATCACTTCCTGGGGCAGTGTTCTCAGACGCTTAGGGAGAACAGGAGGCAGTTTGGGCTGGGACAGGCAGGTTTAGGGGTGCTGTTTCTAGGTGGGTGGGCCCTCAGGGCTGAGGGCATCCCTCATTAGCCTCTCCTGCAGTTTGAAGGCTGCAGTAAAGCCTTCTCCCGCCTGGAGAACCTGAAGATCCACCTGAGGAGCCACACAGGCGAGAAGCCATACCTGTGCCAGCACCCAGGTTGCCAGAAGGCCTTCAGCAACTCCAGCGACCGTGCCAAGCACCAACGCACCCACCTCGACACGGTAGGTAGGCCTGAAGTGGAGGCCCCGGGTGGAATAGGGCTGTACACAAACCCCACTCTACAGGCTGCATCTCTGCCTGTACTCAAGCTGTGTTACGCGGGCCGGTAACACTGTATCAGGAATGATGGGGGCATGTTCTTTGTATTATAGGTTAATTAGTAGGCCCCCTGGCTTTCTACTGAGTAGATAGTTTTTCCCCTCCCATCATTCTCCAGTTGTGACAACTGCAAATAACTTGGGTATGGCCGTGTGTCCTCAGGATGTGGGATGGGCAGACCAAACTTAAAAAGGGCCTCCAGTTGAGACTACTCTACTTGGCCCATGAGTACCACCCCAGGCCCAAGTCTTTAGGGAAAGTAGGTGCTCTCACCCCCAGATCTTCTCTTTGGCAGGCTACCTTTATCTGCATCCTGAGAAAGCCACTCCCTGCTCTTCCCACTCCTCGCTTGGGGATAATACGTAGACTCTTTAGGGCTGTTTTTGTCCCTTAAGGGGTTGTAGTTGGTGACACCTAAGAACCAGCATCTTGCCACAGCAGCCTGACCATCGTGTTTCTTTCCACGCCCCTGTCCTTATTCCAGGCAGTAGAGACCCACATCTCTGTCCCAGGCTGCCCTGTACAAATGAAGACATCAGCAGTTAACACAGCACTTTCAGAATGTCACTCCTATACTGACCCTGCTACCAAGGTCCCTGACCCATTTGACACAGGAGGGAAGCAGGCTTAGGGGCTCACATGGCTGAACTCTGGCAGAGGTGACAGACTCAGTCTTCATGCCAGTCTCACAGGTGATGGGGAAAGTGGCATGTACCTAGGAGGATCCCAACCCTATGTGCAGCACAAGGCTGGAATCTGCTAGAAAACCCCATGTCTGGACCTCCAAGCAGTTCTCTGCTCTGCTGCAGATGTGTAGGGAGCTGGGATGGGGCCAGGCACCAGTCGATATGCCTTCCCTGAGGAAACAGGCCCAAGAGGGTAACTGAGTGCAAGTTGGAAGCCATAAAGCAACAGAGGTCAAGACACACAGCCCTCCAGAGTCCTAGCCCTTATCTCACAGCCCAGAAACCAGGTACAGAAAAGTGAGCAGCAAAGTCACAGACTATGGAGTTAGGCCAGGGCCTGGACTGGACTATACCTTCTTGATTTCTTCCAGCCCAGTAGTGTCACACACCTGCTCCAGTTCATGAAAAGCTGAGACCTAAGTCAGGTCATGTCAATGGCAGGCAAGTGACAGATCCAAAGGCACAGCTGAGTGACTCCAAGCCCTCCTTGTCCCCAATACAAAACCAACTCCCCTCCCCTTACAGGCTACACTGCCCTTCTCCCACCTTGCAGGCCTAGGGCATGTCCCCACGGCCTCTCTAGTTTCCTGCTTGTTTCTCACTCCCCCTTCCTGTGCTTCCTAGACCCAGCCCGTTGAACAGAACTTCTGAGGGCTGGGCCAAGTCAGGTCCACACAAACCCACAGGTTATCATCCCAGGCCTTCATCCATCTAAGGGCCCTCACTCACACCCACATATCTGCCTGAATAGTATGGACAGCTCCTTGTTGCTAGACCATATCCCAGCCTGCAACCTCCAGGTCAGCAGTAAGACAGGCTGACACATAGAACCTTAGCTTCATAGGAGACCCCCAGCCATAGTCCCAGCTATCAGGAGCACGGGGCCCATGGCAGGAAGGAGGTTCTCTGGACAAATTGGAGAAAGCAGACTTCAACTCTGATTTTGGCTCTGCCTCTTGAGAATAGAGGGGGTACAGCTGATGTGAAGCCTACCTGCAAACTGGACAGCCCCTTCTTTCCTAGTCTGTCCCTCTGAGACTTAATGTCAGCCAGATCCTGCCACACCCCAGGTGTGCCACCGTTTCCAGTATGGGCCTCAGTTTCTCCATCAGCAGGATGGGGGCCTCTGTTTGCTTTATTTGATTGGCATGTTTGGAGGCACTGGGAGAAGAAAGGCCCCTAATAGAGAGGCACACACACACACACACACACACACACACACACACACACATCCTCACTGTGATGTCTTCTGCACAACTGAAGCTGAAGCATTCTAAGGGGTAGGTGTGGTACTCAGAAGGAACCATGGTGACCAGTGCTTAGCAGGGCCGCATCTAGGGAGCCCTCAAAGATGTAACCATCTCTCATGTCCAGAGCTCTGTACAGACAAAGAAGAGTCGCCTTGGTGGGAATAACACAGCCCCAGTCTTGGAGCTTGTATGGGGATTCCGGGCCTAGGGTTTGGCTAGTTGCTTGGGACATCCACGGGCTTTCCTGAGGGCTCAAGGGAGCTGGGCCTTAGGAATGTTCTATACACGTCAAGCCCTGGAAAAACAAACACAAAGATGAGTCTTGTTGCTCTGTTTCCAAGCGAGTGTGCCTACCACACAGAGCTATTTGTTTGCTTTTTGACCAAAGCCTGTGGATTTGTATCAGCAGTCCCAGAGGACAAGGCCAGGGGCCAGTCAGCTCAGGGCAGGGCAGGACTCATGGGAGAGTGCTCTGGGTTGGGTAGGGCCCCTGAGAGAGACTGTGTGTGTTAGGGTGGAGGTTGGGTCTCATGTGAGGGGCTGTGTAAGTGTGGGGCTCGCATGCTGAAGCAAGTGTTAGGCAGTCCAAGGCAGGCTTCCCGCCCCCGCCTTCCTGTTGGCTTAGTCAACTTCTTACCGCTGTCTCTCTCTTTTTGTTGTTCTCCATTCTTTAACCTGGCAATCTCCGTGGCAGCTCCAAGGTATGGTTACGGTCATCTCTTTCTGCTTTTCCCCACAAGGCCCCTGACAGGAGGCACCTCTCCCAGCTTTCCTGCCTCTGGCAGGGGCAGAAATGCCTTGAGGCTTTGTGGGCAACTCCACTTGGTGTGTCTGACTGGGCATGGAAGTCCCTGGGGCTTTTACCCTAAGAGGTGCTGGTTCCTACATACACACACTTGTCCACCTCTGTGGTTCCAGGAGGCAGTCCCGGGGGCTCTGAAGCACTCTGTGTTTAAAAAAGGAAATCTTGTGAACTTTATGCCTCTGTAGCTGGGGGCCCCAAATTGGTCTTATGAAAGCCCCTGAGCTGTGAGATGCAGGTAGAGTCACAAGTTGCCCTTCCCTGGTCTTCTGGATCATGGCCAGGATTAGATGGGTCTCTCATTGGTAGAGCAGAGGGACAGTGGGAAGACCGGGCAGCACAGGGTGGGCAGTGCAGCCTGTGGGAATCGCAGGCCAATCCAGAAGGCAAAAACCTAAGCAAAGCTAAAGAGGTGATGTAGGTTGGGTAGGATGGGAAGAACATTGCGGGGTATGCATGGGGACAATGGTAAGAGGAAGACCCCAGTCAGTGCCAGGAAATCACCTAGTTTCTGATCATCAGAGGGTCAGAGGGCCATGGAAGGGTGTTAGGAGGCAGGACATGACTGTCCTGTGACAAAAGCTCTGGACTATGCATGGGAAGAGATGAGGTCCTGGGAGGCAGGGGACAACCTGAAGGGGGGGTCCAAGAAGAAGTAAGGGGCTGACTTGGGGGTCCCCTGTTTGTCTTCCAGGACAGGGAGGGCATTTGGCCCATGGAGACAGCACAGTCTTCGGGCCCCTAGCTTGTGCTTTTTGAGGTCAACCCCCTCTACTCTCCCAGTTATTGGAAGAAGGACCTTGGTTGCTGTGGCCCATAGTGCCCCTTGGCCCTGCCTAACAGGAGTCATCCAGGCTGGCAGCAGGACATGCCCTCTTCCTCTCTTCATTCCCCTGCCCGGGACAACCTCCTGTGTACCCCTACTCCACACACTGCTTTTGTGCAGCTATGCTATGAGGGCACTTTTGTCACAGCCAGTATGAGCCAGAAGGACCCACAGAGCTCAGTTGGTCCCCTTTTGTGGACAGGAGGCAACTCACCTGCACTCCCAACACAGTGGCAGAATGAGGACACAGAGCTTCTCCTCTCCCAAGCCAGGTGCCTTACCCACTCATCCTTCCCATGGCAGGTCACATAGGGGACCTTCACCATGAACAGTGGCCTCTTATGTATCCCTCATGCCTCTCTGATGTTACAGAAGCCATATGCTTGTCAGATCCCTGGCTGCTCCAAGCGCTACACAGACCCCAGCTCCCTCCGCAAGCACGTGAAGGCCCACTCAGCCAAAGAGCAGCAGGTGCGTAAGAAGGTAGGTGGCCACAAATCCCAGACCCATCTCTGCAGACACCTCTGATCCCAGCATCAGACCAAGTGCCTCACGTCTGTGTGCATGCCATTCTCTACACACTTGTAAATGCCACTGCTCTCCCATCTGCCCAGTATACCAGCCCACAACCCTGCCCTTATCACCTCAACTGGCTAGACATTCACCCACCAAAAGACTGGCACCTTTAACCAAGACACTCATACCCAGCCCTGGGCTAGGGCATTGAAGATGCAAGACAAATGACATAGTACCCATTTCCAGTGGCATGAGGTACACACCAAGAGGAGGCTCCTTGCCAAATGATAATGACAGCAGGGGGCTTATATCTAGCACAAATAAAGGGCAATGGCCTAATGTGGGAATTTACCAATACGGAGTCAGGTAAAAATATAAGGGTATTTATTAGGGAAAAGCCTTACTTACAGAGCGACCCAGCCAGCCAGCAAGGCAGCAGTAAGTACAGCAAGCCAAAGATGAAATGGAAGAAGGGAAGCCCACGTGAGCACACCTCACTCTTAAACCTTCCCTACAGTGTCACCTCTAATTCCCCCTTTTAGTCTAAAAGAGGATTAAAACTTAACAGTGCAAAGTATCCAAAGTTAACAATCATAAAGGTGAAATATAAGAAGATACAACAGTCTGCTTATGTCACATTCTAACTATGTCTATTTTAACTAAGCCCTAAAGTCATCAAAAAGAGGTGTCCAAGCCTGAACACCTACAGTGGCCCATCTGCAAGCGAACAGAAAGGTCCCAGGAAGAGCCAAGAACCATAAAGGATAATGGTTAGGAGTGTGAGCTCTGGTCCCAACTGCAGGGCCTGCCTCTGTGCCTTATGCCTCTGTGCTTCCTGGGTGCTAGTGAGGACTAAGTGACAGAATATATCCAGGGTTGAGCCGATACCGGGCCGTTCTCTTGCAGTGTAGGCAGGTGAGTTCAGGAAAGAAGTGTGTGCCTGGAATGACCCGTGGAACATGTGGGGGCAGTGTATTCATATCTATACATTCTTGGGCTGTCACATGCCAGAAGCCCTGCCTAGGATTTGAGCTGTGTCCTAGGACCTTCAATGCTATCATGTGATCTTGAGGGAAAAATAAGTACATGGCTTTGAGAGCTACTTCTGGGGTCATGTGGAGAACAGGGATGTCAGAGTGAAACGTGAGTTCAGCAATGAGAACAAAGAAAATAGTGGGATGCAATGATGGAAACCTGGGCTGGGCCAGGGAGTATCAGTGGTGGTGTCCTTCACCTCACTGGGACTGAAAACCCCATGAGAAAGCCAGCAGTGAGCAGCTGGGGGCTCCAGGTCATGCAGTAGGTTACAGGACAGCAACCTTGGGCAGAGCACCCTGGCATGGGCACTCAAGTACCAGAGGCTGTGAGAGGGAAGGACAGATGGGAGCCAGCCCAGCAGTACTAGCAAGGTAGAAAGGCACAGGAAAGAGCCCACTCACTCAAGCAATAACCTTGGACACTGCTGTGAATAAAATAGCAAAACCTTATGCAGACTGGGAGAGCAGACAGTTTCTATCCTGTGTAATGGGCAGAAAGAGATAGGGTACCAGGATCCAGCTTGCCTCATGATGGAGATGGCATGGAACTCATCTTGGAGGCACTGGGGAACCATTTAGAGGGTGGAGTCAGTACATGCAGCAAGTTTACTGGTGCAAACGCCACATCTCTGACTCACTGGGAAGTGGGACATGCCATTAACCCAGTGGCTTCTCAACTAGACATTTTACCTGCTTCATGTACTACAGCTGTCATCCTACAAGTGGGCCCTAGCTTATGTCCATTTCAAGAATGTAGGAACTGAATCTACATTAACAAAGTATCCCAGTCACACAGCCCAGGAGAGACAACTAGGGTACTACTAGCTCCTGACACTGCCTCAGGGCAGTAAGGGATGGCCCAGGCTTCCGTAGGCTGGAACTAGGTGCCAAGGAGGCGGCTGTCCCCGGTGGACTGGTGCCCAAGGACCAGAATCCTGCCCTGATTTTCCCAGGCCCGTGCTTGGCTCACATCGAGCCCCCAGGGACCTGGGCGGCAGATCTGCAAACTTCCCAACAATAAGCATCCATTAGAGCCATCGGGGATGATGGATCTTTCTGGGTAAGGCGACCCTTGTATTTTGACAAGTCCTTGGCAGCCCTGCTGCATTTTGGAGAGAATTAGAAATGCTTTTCTTCCTTAATTCTCCTCTCCTGCTGTTCCTAATCCAATCGGCATTGCGGTCTGCAAGAACATGCCTTGGCCCTCTTTTGCCAAAAACTTCATTTACATGGAAAACAGCTGCCGGGTCAGGCGCTGAGAGCCCTGTGCAAGACTGGCATGCCTTCCCCGCTTGGTCAGCCCTCTGCCTGGGAAGGTGGGAAGGTGGAAAAACCCCCCTTGTGGCTTTCAGTTGCCCAAGAATGTGGGCAAGTCTCTGGGCCTCTCAGCACCTGTTTTGACCTGGTAAAGTAGATGTTTGGACAGAACCTTGGTTCTTGACTTCTTTGGGATTTCCCTAGAGAAGGGTCACCTCCCATGCAGGTGCCTGCCCCCTTGTCACCCAGTGTCTTCAGAACCCCGCCCAGGTTTTTGGTTGTTTTTGTTTTGTTTTGTTTTGTTTTTTGTTTTTTTCTCCACCTGGAGAAGTAAAGATGCTCCAAGGTATCCAAGTGGTGTTAGCGGTGTTAGCTATATCATCCCAGCCAGACACAGCAAGTCACTGGGCCACTACTGTGATCCTATAGGAATCAGGCAGCTGGAGCCTAGCCAGTCTTACACACAGTACTTCACAAATCATCTTTTCTTTCGTAGTCTCACTACTAGCCATAGCCTGCAATGGTAGAGGCAGTGACGGCTCCAGAAAACAGGCAAGGTGGGTGAGGCCCAGAGAAGTTGTCTGCTGGCACACAGGGAATAAGAGGTAGAACCCAACCCTGGATTCTTTCCAGTGTCCCTCATAGTGACATGGAGGATGAATGGAGAGAGGGGAGAAGGGACACTTGCTAAGAGACGTCACTCCTACTGCCACAGGTTGCCCTAATGGGAGCTACAAAAGCCCAGTAGTTGCACTTGACCACCCCTCTAAAGCCGACCCCCCAAGGGCCATGAAGAAATCCCTCCCAAGAGACACAGGACCCCAACTCCAGTCTGAGAGGTCCCCCTCCCTCCTTCCCTGGCTCAGTGGCTGAAGGTATACTTCCTTCTAGGGACATTCTAGTAAAGTCGTATGTCAGATCCTGTCCCCGCATCTCACAAGTCCTTACACTGTCCACAAGCCCATTTTCCCAGTGAGGAAACCAGTACAGCATAGAAGGTCCTGCCCAGGGCCGCTGCCTTTCCAGCTTTGTCCCCTCAAGCATCGGGTGCCTGTGGGCAGGTGGCTTGATACTCACACCTCCCTGCTGCTTGCTCCCCAGATGCACACGGGTGCTGATCCAGAGGCTGTTCTGTCGGAGTGTCTGGCACTGCAGCAACTCCATGCATCCACACCTTTGCCTGCCAGCAGGGGGAAGGGCAGCCAGACCCTGAGCCAGGAGCTACTCCCAGGTAAGTGTGCATGAGGCCGGGCCAGGGCACAGACACACTGTCAGCCCAAGGGCACATGGGTAAGATTTGCTGAGGAGTGCTTTGCTGCCCTGGACCTCACTGCTTCTGTCCCACCCCCTCTTTCAAGATGTCTTATCTTCTAAGTAGGTAGGTAAGCACTCCTGAATAACCCCCTGTTGCCATAAGATGGCGCCCACTCCCCCTTAGTCTGGCCTGAGGCCTCCTGGGTGGAACCGCTAGAATTCATTCTGAGACCCTTTTCCCTTCCTTCACCAAGGTTGCTTTTAACCTGCTCTCTGAACCTGTCCCCCTGTCCCCTCCTCTAGGAAGTCTTCCTCAGAACTGTCAGTTTCCCTCCTGTCTCCCCACCAGCCTGTGGCTAGGAACTCCTCTGGGGAAAGCCTGAGTCAGCCACACCCACATGGGGCCCTGTCTGAAACAGTGTGAAGAGGGTCTGCATCCCTGAGTGTACACCAGGTTCTCATCCACAGTGAGGCACCCGAACAGGCCCAGTCTGGACTCGAGGTTCTGTTCAGTGACCAGCATGACTCCTTCAGAAAAGAAAAACCAAGTCTTTGAGGGGGTAGGCAGCTTGGCTGAAACCACTGCTGAGTTCTGTGGCCCAGTGTAGGGCTCTCTGGGCCAGACCCTGCAGGCCCATTGGGCAACACTCAGCCACTGGTCCAGCAAGAGCAGCAGCAGCTGGCTGCAGGGCACACTCAGGCCATGGCAGGAATCCTGGCTTCGTGGCTTGGGAACATTGCCCAGCTGTGGGCAGCATGGCCTTTAGATTCAGCCGATGATTCTTGTGCTGTGCCTTCCACCCCTGCTCCCCGAGGAAACCACAGCCTCAGAGCAGAGAGCTCGGCTGCCCTCTGGGGTTTCTTGAATTACTTCAATCATTCAAAGCATTTTTTTAAATTTCCTAATCTTATTCTCCGCCCCCCACCCCAACACTGAAGTAGTAGCAGTGGACTTTAAAACATGTCAAGGCCCTTACCAGACAGCCTTGGAAGAGCAGATTTTCACCTATCTGCAAGGCCTACTGTGTGAGGATGGCCCCGAGGTATATACAAGAAGGGGTACATGCAAGGAGGAGGGCTGCTAGGCACCCCAAAACTGTTGCACTGGGCCAGGAAGGTGCTTATCCTATTGCCGGGACCCCAAACTGAGGACTCCAGAGAGAGGCTCCCACTGATGGGGCCCTGGGTCCTGCAGCCCTCATGTGTCCCCCTTGAGAGGACTCACCCATCCAGATAACCAGCATCAGGTCAGCCTAGGAGCCATCATTGTCTCAACAGATACTGTCTCATCTGCCAGGGCATAGTCAAAGGAGCAAGGGCCTCCTGCTAGCAGCATGGTCTGAGGAGGTGATGTCTTCCTCAGTGTCCCTCCCAAAGCTGAGCATAATTCCAGCTTCCCACTGCTCACTCCACTCGAGAGGTGCCAGCCTGAACCCATGTTCATCGAATGTCTCCTACATGCTCTCTCTGTCAAGGCCACCCTACATAATTTTTCATACCTACTATGTGCCGGCTATGCCGGGCTCAGTCCTTCACTCTGGCAAGAAGTGGGAAGGATGGCCTGCCAGGCACACCCTGGGGCTAGGCTGCACACAGACGCCCCCACTGAGGCACAGTGGGGAACAGATGTTAGGGCCAGAGGCTAAGTGTTCATGGCTGATGATTGATGTTGCTGCTTTACAGCTCAAAGTGGTGTGGTTTGGGGAGGCTACAGGCCCAGGCCCCGCTTCCATGGCCCTTTGGGGTCTGGCGATTCTTTCATCTCATTCACTGTACATGCCCCCATCACTGCCGTGTGTCTATATGGAGCCATCAGATGGGGCATGGGCCAAGACAGCAACAAAGGCAGGGGACAGATTATCTGGAAAGGTCAGAAGAGTCTTAAAACAGAGAGGATGAGGGAGCAATGACATGAGCCTGTCACTGTCCAATCTGTAAGGGCACACTTACCAGGCAGGCATGTCTTCAGCCCTATGGGGTGCCATGATAGGTAGTAGGGATATGAGTACAATGTCAGATAGTAGAGGCTATCAGCATTCCCAGCTGTTAGGCCCCCAAATTGATTCAAGATGGCAGGCAAGGATGTACTGAGAAGAGTGCAGAGTGGTACAGGCTAAGCAACACCAAGCCAAGATGCTTCCACAACCGGTCTTCAGGTGTTACCTGAGGGACAGGAGGACATGTGGCCAGGACAGGCACCAGTGGGTGGACAGCACTGCTGTCCCTGGCAATAGGGGTTCCCAAGGCAGCGAGGGCAGTGCTGGGGAGGATAGCTTCAGGGTGCTGCCCAGAGTCTGGGTGTCATGATCGGCTGACTGCAATGCCTGTAGCAGAGCCAAGATCCTCATTGGACACTCCAGACCCCAGCTCAGCTGGAGCCTCTGCCTCAAATAGGCACCCTCTCCATTTGGTCTATGATGTCCAGAGAGTCTGTTTCTAAATTGTCAGGACTAGGTATGTGGAGAAAACTTGGCACATAAATGCCATAGTTACCAACCATGATGACTTAAATAATGGGACTTCTCCTGGTATCATGTGGCCACAGTCACCATCAGGAATTGCAGGTCATCTGGTCTTCAAAGCCAAATGCCGCTATCCAATTGTGGCAGCTTAAAGACAGTTGGGACCCCATTACCACAGCTCCCTGACTCTGCTTTGGGCCTGTAGCCCAGCCCTTAAAATAGCCCCTATAGGTTCTGATCAGAATGGCCAGTGGAGGATGAGCTAGCTTAGGATCCTAAGCAGCTAAGCCCACCCTGGAAGAAACCTGGGTGTTCCCAGGCTAGTCCTTCAGAGGTAGCAGCTGGCAGGGAAGGGACTGGCCAGCTGGTAGACTCTGCCCTGGTATGACAGAGAGCATACCCCTGAGGGAGAGTCCTCACAGGGTGTCACCTTGATGACTGATTTCATCATCGCTGATTTCAAGAGAAGTGACATTTTCATTCTAATAAGCAGGCTAGGTTTACCAAGAGGGCAAAATTGGTTTTGTTTTGTTTTTCCCCCAGGCAAAGTAGGGAGCATCAGAAATCTTATACCCTTGAGCTGATGAGGTCACTCAGTGATAAAGGTCTGGCCTGGCACCCGGAAACCTTGATGCCACCTCCAGCACCATAAAGGGAACTGCAGGCTTTGTTGTGCCCATTTTAGGCCCTATCCCAGCGGAGGGGCCATCCTCTGACAGGCTCCTTTGCAATGCTGCCCTCAGTGGTCCTCAAACCCTCAGCTAGGCCTCTGGACCAACATGTGACTTTGACCTAGTGTTCCTGTTGGTCTTGTTAGCAGCCCACCTATGTTGACAAGGAAAAGAAGTGATAAAAGGCAACTCCAACCCCGGGGTGAGACCCTAGCTTAGTGTCCAGCCTGGACCACTACCTCCAGTAGGCCTTCCTAGGAGCCTCTGGAATCAGCCTGACCAGGCCAGCTGTCCAGTCATTAGTCTGCAGCTGGTCACTGGATACCTAGGCTCTGCCTGGCTGTGTGTGAGAAGGCGTAGTCTATGCAAAGGGAGCTCCACTTTCCTACAGCAGCACTGCTTGCTGGAAGATTCTACCAAGCCCTGAGCTTTCTCTCTCTGCTTCTGGGGGTACATGCCATGCCCAGCTTTTCCAGAAGAGTCCGATGGAGGTTTGAAGCCGCCCACTCCCTACAAGTTCCCAGACCCATGTGTCCGACAGTCTATCACAGTTGGCATCAGCTCTGTTAGCCATGATCTGAACTGGACAGAGTGGTGCCATCACCTCTATTGATACGTTGTCATTTTTGTCATTCTCTCTCAGTAAGCAGTCATGGCTCCTGAGATGTTCATACCCTAGAGAGTGGCCAAAGCCTAGTGACATCTGTTTGGTTCCTTGCAGGTGTATATCCTGGCCCCGTCACCCCACAAAATGGGCTTGCTTCGGGCATTCTGTCCCCCTCCCATGATGTCCCTTCCAGGCACCACCCGCTGGAGGTCACCACTGGTTCCCACCACCACCTGTCCCCTCTGCCCACAGCCGAGAGCACCAGGGATGGGTATGTATGGCAAGCTAGTCCTCGGGGGTCACACCTGAGCACTTGTGTAGGAGGTGGACAAGGCAGAGTGTGGCAGGTGACGTGCACACTGTCGTTACTGGTGACAGCAGCCTACATTTATGCGACACTGACTGGGTCCTGTACTCCATACCACCTTCTGTGTACAATATTATTGATGTCTCCCAGGGACACCCCCGCAGCAGAAGTGGATAACTGGTTTCCAGGCTTCCAGCCACCCACATCCTCCTTTCAGAGGCCCCTGGGAAAATTCTGCTGCAGCCAGGCTCCTCAGGGACACCCCTCCACCCTCTCTCTGGGCATCTGATACCAGACCTCCCATAGAGGGACTAGCCTGGGTCACATTGAAACCCTCAGAGCCTCCCCTAGAGTCACTGCATTCAGTAGGCTCCTCACCCTGTTGGCTGGATCTGGTGAACATGCTACCATCCTCCTGCATGATCAGAGGGAGTCCCAACCTCCCCCACCCCACCCCACCCCATTTTGCTCATCACCCACCAACAGTGACTTGCTCAAATTTGTTGCTCAAGGCCTGGCTCCAGTACCTTCCTTGCTCTCCCCCTCCCCAAGGCAAAGCCTCGGCCACTGTATACCTAGGACCGGTCTGGCTTTATTACCAAATCTGTGGCCTGCTGCTCCTACCTGGGAGCTCTTGCCATTCATTCATCTATTCCTTCCTGGTTGCTGTGGGCAGGGACCCAGCCAACAGCCGGCCTCTACTGGCTTTGTGTGGAGGGATGTTGGACAGGCTGAACAGTTTGACCATCTGGGGAAGGAGCAGAAAGGGCTGTGGAGGCCCAGAGAGGAAGTCAGATGGGCTGCCTGCAGGAGGTAGTGCTAAGCCAGGCTCCAGAGGCAGGTGGAGGAATGAGAAATTCCAGCAGGCGTTTGGTGAGAATTGGGATATGCTGGAATTGGGCTGGGGTGGCAGCCTGCGCTAAGGCTGGGCGGGAAGGGAGAGAACCCAAACAACAAACATGGACCAGGCTTGACCCTCGAAAGGTGGGCTCCCTGAGATTTTGTCTCTTCCTCCTAAAAGGCATTGAAAGGCCCTCCTCCAAGAAGGTGGTAAGGACTATTCCCCATGCCCGGTGTTGCTTGTGTCACCCTGTACATGTCCCATCTACAGTAGTCCCTGCTTTTCTGCCCCCAGCTCAGGCCACCTGCTTAACCAGTGGCCGGCCTCAGCATCTCCAGCCATAAGACATTAAACCTCAGAGGTCCTTGCAGGGCTTTTTGCTTGGCCTCATTCATCACCCTCCTGCTGCCCCGGTGTAAGTACCCATCAGGAATGCCTGCAGTGAGAGGCGGGGTGATGACGCCGGGTTCCGGATGCCTGCTGGAGAGAAGGGCCCCATGGCTGACTCGGCCTGGGGCTAGCCTGAATGGGTTTCTTTTTCAGCCCCAAAGGAGTGATGGGCGGGAAGGCCTGCAGCTTCCCCTGCTTGCCAAAGTCAACAGGGACTGGCCACTTGAGGCTCCCCAGCGGCTTGCTGGGACGTTTAAATAGCTTGACAGAATTATCTGATTCACTCAGAAATACGCTAACAGGGCCTGACTTCATGACCAAATGTATTTACCCTGGCTCGGCGGAGACACCAAATTTGGTGGGTTTCTTTCCCAGCTCGGTGCAGGGAAGACACGGGGCCCTGGGGCTGCCAGCCAGGTCCGATGTAACTTACATAGGCTTCAACCAAAGCTCAAGCATGTGCTGTGGGAGTCACTTGCCTGCCTCCAGAGAGGGCTCCAGGTGACCTTCTGGCCATTGGAGTGACACAGATCAGCCTATGTATCAGCTGTGCGCAGTTCCATTCTGTTTAATTTCACTGGCTGTGAAGGTGGCAAAGAGAATTTATGGCGGGTCTGGACAGAGAAAATAAACCTTGAAGCCACACACGCTTCCCCAGATCTGTGCTTGCTTCTTCCTTGCACTTCATCTGTAGGGTTTGGGACTGAGTGATTTAGAAACCTATTTGGGGTGGGGCATGTTGGCATACTCCTGAAATATAAGCACTCAGGACACTGAGGCAGGAGGTTGGCAAGGCTAAGGGCAGCCTGGACTAAACATTGAGATGCTATCTGACAAAGAACCAGTTTGCGGATATTGGCCATTGTTTGTCCCATGCCAGGCCCCTTCCTGGGGAAGTAGAAGGCCCACAGCTGGCCCTCTCTGCAAGGCACAGCTGGCTTTTGAGTGCTAGGGTGAGGAAACAGGCCACAGCAGGCACTGCACAGTTCTAAAGAAAAAAGAGCTTCTCATCGGGATGTGCCTTGGTCTGGCTTCTGCCAGGAAAATGGACAGTGTGGTCGTCCTGTTTGTGGCCAGGACTTCACAGTTGGCATTACACAGAGAGAGACCCTGTCCCCCACAGTCTGAACACAGTAATAGTTGGAGAGGTCGAGTCCAACATTAGATGAGGACTTTTGACTCTTGGAAAAGTGACCTCCCAAGTGTGTGGAGATGGCAGTGTATTAACAAGGCCGCGGGAGCAGAAGGTACCGCCAGTGTGGCCTTGGATCTCCTGTCCCCAGAGTCCTAGGTTCCTTCATAGGAGGCACTGATCCGCCCCACAAATCCCACTTCTAGTAGAAGGATGAGGAGAATGTGCCTTCCTTGTCAGGGTCACCTGGAGCTAAGGTCCTGGCTTTGCGGTCTGCTTTGATGTAGAGCAGCAGTTCTCAACCTTCCTAGTGCTGCAGCCCTTTAATACAGTGAGTTCCTCGTGTTGTAGTGATGTGTCTCCCAACCATAAAGTTATTTTGTTGCTACTTCATAACTTATTTTGCTACTGTTATGAATCATAAATAGCTGGAAGGCAGGGGTCGAGACCCACAGGTTGAGAGCCACTGATATAACTGGCCCCAGTTTCAAAATCCACAAGTCAAACCAAAGCCTTGGAGACTTTGCCATTGCCCTCGTTCCCTCCACTGTGCATATATGCACTGTCAGGCTGAAAGTCTGTGCATGGGTAGGTTTGGAGTCCCCGTGTGCAGAACTCAGAGGTTAGGATGGAAACCTGATGTAGGAGCCTGGCCTGGAGGGTCTTCAGTAAACCTGGGTGACACTCAACGCAACTGCACTCAATCCCTGTGGCCTCAGCTCATAGGAGCTTTCAAAATGCACAGGCTTGGGCCTGGATCCCTCAAGTTATGCATGAGTGTAGTTGGTGAGCCTCCCATCACAGAAGCTATGCAAGTAGAAAACAGCTGGCCAGGGAGAATAAAATGCCAGCTTGCATGTCAGGTACATTGGCTTTTCCTTCCCTTGGTCATGGCATGTATTAATGAGGATGTAAATACATTGTATGGGGTCGTTTGTTTATGTGGTTTTGACTTTACTTTCACCGATACCTAGGAGGCCAACGCTGTGTGGCCATGTGAACAGAAAACACTGCAGCCTCTCTGAACTTTGGTTTCCTAATCTACAAAGGGGACCTCTAGCGAATAAGGTGGTCTGTTCCACCCCAGAGTCACGCACAATTGGAGGGCTGGTCACCAGGGGTGGATGGTATTTAACCCATGATGGTGACAGCTGCAGCGTGTCAGGAAGTAAACATAGCACACCCTGCAGGGAAACTAGGGCTCCCAAACAGTCCAAGGTCTGTGCCTGGTGGAAGCTGCTAGGAGTTTGAACTCTGGTCTGTGGATTTCCAAGGTCATGGGCATCTCTGTTCCTTGTTTATTGGCAGTCCTGAAAACCAAGTTCTCAACTAAAATGTAACTCCCATCAGAACATGACCAAGCAAGAGGCCCATGGACGTGTTTATGGCATTGTGAATAGGAGCAGGTTGTGAGGCCCTGAGTCATGCCTCACCATGATGAAATCATGGTGTCTGTCCTCTCCAGCCTGGGGTCTGGCCTTCTCTCACCCATGGTCAGCCCACTGAAGGGGCTTGGTCCCCCACCACTGCCACCATCCTCCCAGAGTCAGTCTCCAGGGGGACAGCCATTCTCCACGCTCCCCAGCAAGCCAACCTACCCACCCTTCCAGAGTCCACCACCTCTACCCAGCCCCCAAGGTAAGCTGCACTCAACCACTGTGACCAAGGGAACTGACATGGGGCCTGGGGAGGCAGGTGGGTACTCTAAACAACAGATCGGGTTCTGAGAGCCACATTGGGCTTCTTGCCTTAGTGACAGATAGGAGGGGCCTACTACTTGGGTATGGTGGGTCCAGAGATGGAGGGCCCAAGCATCCCATCAGGTGCAGACTCTAGACAGCCACGTAGGACCACCTTTCTATCCCTCTTCCTTTCCCTGTGCTCTCTTCTCATTCACACCCCCTCAATGCCTGGAACCAGACAGCAAGGGGGCTGACCCCCCACGCCCATGACTTTGGCCTTCCCTCCATCACTGCAGTCCCTGCCTCCTCTTGCAGGCTACCAAGGCAGTTTCCATTCCATCCAGAACTGCTTCCCTTATGGTGACTGCTACCGGACCACTGAGCCAGCAGCCTCCAGGGATGGACTGATGGGTGATGCCCATGGTTTCAACCCTGTAAGACCCAACACCTATTCCAGCCTCAGCGCATCTTTACCTGCCCCAGGTAAGCTGCCCAAGGCCTCCCTTCCCTGAGCACTGCCAAGGTGAGCCCTGTGGTGGGGGATGGAGGGGGGCTTGTGTACTGTATCAGGCACCTGCTGAGGTCTGGGATTGAGACAGATGCTGATCCCTGCTTCACAGGAAGGGACAGTGCCTGGGGCATGCCTGTTCCCTTGCAGGGCCAAGGATCTGAGAGTCTGTTGCTCTAGCCCTGGCTGGGTAGAGAAGTACAGTGGACAGGGAGAGGGGTGCATGTTGCCCAGAGTTGGAATCAGGTTCTATCCAGCAGGCAGAGCAGTGCTCAGGGCAGCAGATTGGTGGAGTAGAACCTCCTGAATTACCTAAGCCAAGCCCCACCCAAATCAGCCTCAGAGTCCAGATCCAGTGGAGGTTATTAAGGCCCTACAGAGGACAGTGGAGGAACACACCAGGGGTGGGGGTGGGGG